CGCCGTTGTCGGCGTTGTCGTCGTCGGCGTCGTCGTCGTCGTAGTAATAGTAGCCAATTGCTGCGCTTCAGCAGGTCGGAGTCTTTGCAGCTCGAAGAGTTGATTTTTGGTATGCCTATTCTTGCAATTATGGGCTCTGTGGTTGGAAAGGTGGGTGTGTCAGTCTGGGTGTGTGTGTGTGTGTGCGTGCACGCGGATGTGTGTGTGTGTGTGTGTGTGTGTGTGGGTGTGTGTGTGTGTGTGTGTGTGCGTGCGTGCGTGCGTGCATGCGTGCGTGCGTGTGTGCATTTGTCTGTGTGTGTTTGTGCTCTATTCATTGTTCTTGTGTTATTGAAACTGTAGGTTCCGCAGCTAGAAAGGCCACTATGTAAAATCCCGTGACTTGTGCACCTTGTGCCTGCACTCATATCTCTGTGGCGGCCCGGGGGATGCCAATGACTCGCGCGCTCGTACGTTTGCTGGATGTTGGCAACAAGCGCGGGCAAAGAGCGGATTCTGGTGGACAGCAGAGCTTTAGCTTTGGCACTGACACTGAGATGAGACCTTAGCTTTGGCACTGACACTGAGATGTACCAGGTCCAACATGCTGCTCTACAGGACTTACGGCAGCGCCCAAAGCTATTTGCTGATCCTGATGTGGGGTGTGTTATCCTTCGGATTCCAGCTAGCTACCTGCCCTAGTCGGAGGGGCTCAGCCCATTGCAGGTTTGCGAAAAATCTAGACACCGGACTCTCTCCGAGCCCGCAATCGAACAGAAGCCTCGCCACAGCCATGAGAACGGGACAGAGCGAAGGCTTTACCCTGCACCCGAAGGAGGAGCCCAGTTTCACGACCGCTCCCCAGTGCCTTCCATTGGGGAAGTCTGGCTGTTGGATTCGATTGGGTTCGTAATCGCATAATCAAACATATTCTCAGTCTTGCAAGTATGTCTTGTGTCGTGTGTTTGGTTTACAGTTGACAGGCTATATTCGCTAGGACTCGACCGGTGCCTCCAAAAATAGTTCAACGGCTCCGAGGTATATCATTCGGCCACATATTGCCTGGAGCCAAGAGGTATCTGTTTGGTGTCGAGTGTGGGCCCGAAAGTGATTCAGACAGTGGATGCAACACGAAGACGATTGTGATGTGACACCCTTTGCAGCTTTCAGTTTTCCGTGCACAGAAAACAACACTGGGCCAATGCTCTCAAAATTGAACTTTGTTTGTTTGTTACGGTCGCACCACGACGGTCTGATTTGGCGGTTAGGGTTGAGGGTTCAGGTTTCGTGATCTGGGAAATGGTGACTCAGGATTTTTTGAATTTTCGGATTCAGGCTTAAGGGTTCCGGATTCCAGGTTGCAGACTGGAGCTTAGAACAGCTTACCGGGCTACCAAAACCCCTTCCGGTAAGATCCAGACGGCACGTCCCAGAGTGACTCATGGCAGTACTTCGTGCCAGCCACAAACCCCGAAACTCAACAGCGGAACCCGAGAATCGAGACCTGAACGCGGAGCCTCCGACCTAGGTACGGCCTGTCATGAAGGTCTTTTGGGGGCACGAGGAAGCCAAGCCGCGCTCTCGGAGAATTGAACGTGCATACTCCCCAAAAAGAGGCCTACCATAGACCACGGTTCGGTTGGAAGGGAGTCCCACAACTCCATGAGGATACTGCAGCAAAGATGCTGACATTACCAACAGCTCCAAGAGACGAACCGTCAAGAGAGCGTGCCGGAAGACTACATGGGTTGATGGTGAACCTCCATCACCCGCGCTCAAGTCCAACAGTCTGACGGGGTTTAGCAGCAGCACATTGTGGTTGCTGCGTGCACGGGCGCATGGTAGCATGGGAGTTCCTAGAGGTCCTATCTCTCGGCATAATGTACTTCTTGTGCAATTGACTGAGAGGGATCTTTGGGATTGTGGGGTGAGGCTACTTGACCCGAACTGGTGCTGAGAGAGCGTAGGGCTCAGGGATGCTGGAGCACCCAGACCACGGGCGAAGTTTTGCTGCAGCGCATGGACCCTGCAAACTCTCTTTCGAGGACAGTCAGGCATGGACCAAGGCTTCAGCTGTGCACGCAGGCTAAATGGGAGTTTCCGAAAATAATGGGTACCTTATTTTGGGGTCCTTATAATAAGGATCCTACTACTTGGGGTTCTAAAATTGGGGCCCCAATTTTCGGAAACCCCCAAATCGGAGCAAGCTGACGTGCAAGGATAGGAGCTGCAGGCGCCACAGAGCACAAAGATCTGGCGCAAAGGTAACGCAGGTAAATGGGAGTTTCCGACAATTAGGGTACCTGATTCTGGGGTCCTTATAATAAGGATCCTATTATTTAGGTACTATAGTAGGGTCCTCTATTTTTGGAAGCCCCCAAATTGTAGTGTAGTCTTTCTTCTTTCGTCTTGGATGTTCACGCTCGATGAAAAGTTTCGATGGCACCTGAGGAAACAGTTGCATACGTCGTCTGCCCAAGGGTTTCTTAAGCCTTACTTACGGCATAAATACCACACCTCAAAACCAAAGCCCAGAGCGTCGCTGTTCGATTCCCGGAGTGTCGCTGAGGCCTCTGATGCTTCTCGAATCTTCTCACATCGACGACAGTTTGTGCAAAGCCAGGCTCCCAGTTTGAGGGTTGGAAGACTGGGGCTCAATATTGTGCATAGAATGGGAATTCCCCTGATATCATAGCCTGGTGTTGCATCTGCTGTGTTCGGAGCGCCACCGCTGCTATTCGGCATAACATGTTGCACGTCAGATCCTCAAGTACCGCTAACTTCCGTTATCGAATTCATCATCATTTTGTTTTACGTTTTTTGACGTTGTCATTGCCTTTGTCTCACTGGTGTTCCTGTTTGGCTTATGTTGCCTCAATAGTTGTCTTAGTAGTAACTGCCGGCTGCCGTTGCTACCGGTGCTACAGCACTACCGCAATTGCAATTGCTTCTTTGGTGAGATGTCGCAAATGCCGCTTGTAGGACGATTCCCGGTTTCGTACTTGTGATGCAGCATGTCATGTTGCTTTCGTGGCTGCTGTCTTTCTATTTGCAAGAGTCTCACTGTCATGTCGGCTAAACTGTCGAACGCCTATTATGGCTCAAGTTGCAAGAGTTGCAAGGTGGAGTCTTGAAAGTAGAAAGTGGTCTTCTTCGTGTTAACATTATCAAGCTCCTACAGACCCTGCCCTGCACGGCCTGTGAGATGCCAGGCCCGACCCAGGGCCCTTCAAAAGGCTTCCAAGACTTACACCAGTCGGCACCGGGAAACCCTATAGATCCCGCAGCCTCTTGCTTGAGCAGCATGCCGCCTGCCTTGACGCCGAGCGGTGCCCCAACTCCGATTGAATTAAACTCCTACCGCCTTCGGGGCTTGATGCTCAGCTTTGGAGGTTGCAAGCTGTTGTTTGGGGTTCAGCTGTTTTTCGTTAAGCCGCGGCTCGGTCTGGGTGATGCTACGGGCAAAGACATCAACATCTGAAGCGGCATGTCGCAGAACCTTCAAGCGGAGATCGGACCGAGAACCGGTCTTGCGTTGAAACAGGGCTTTGGGTTTAGGGTTGAGGAGCCCAGAAGGGGGCCCTAGCGCTAGCGCCCGGAGCTCGAAATTCACAGCCGTGTCAGGGTGTCACCGTTGCTGCGCACCTTGTCAATAGCTTCCTCCTTCTCTTCCCTAGCTTTTCCAACCCATTGGTGGCTGTTTTGCGAGTTCTGATTGTCGCCAGGTGACTGCTATGTTGCGCAAGGTACTGGTGTTTCAATTTTTGCTACGCAGGAGTATCGTCGCACACCTGGATGCAACAGTAGGCCATAGATTGTTGCATTTGTTCACATGGTTGCCTGTTGATTCTTACAAGTTTCGAGCCCTTCATCCACAAAGCAAGTCCGCAACCCTCGGAAGGCTTCCCCGTCTCTCCTTCAGCCCCGAACACCCCAACGCCGTCCGCCAGGGGCCGAATGGCTTCAGCGCCACGGCGCAGGCATCCCTCAAGGAGAAGAGCGGCAGGCAAGCCATGTTCCTGCTTGTGTTTGTGGTGACCCGAGTCGTCCCAGTCCTCGTATGGGTACCTTATTTTGGGGTCCTTATAATAAGGATCCTATTATGCGGGGTCCTTATGAATTTCCAGCTGGTTGATTTCCTTGAGACAGAGGACATTGGCGACCAGGAAACCTATGGTTGTGAGTGTTCCATCCATGAGAGGCTCAGGGCTCTTGCTGGGAATTATCACTTCTTTTGGTGCTTAGGCGCCTGCAGCTTAGGGTTTACCATGCATCATCTGCAGATTGGGCTTCGGGCTTGCCCAAGCATCATCATCATCTCTTGCGTGATGCCGGGGCTTGCAATCGTAGTTGTAATGATCACTGCCATGACTACAATCATAATCATAGGATGATGATAATAATCATGATAATATTGACAATTTCTTAAACATTGACAATAGTAAATCGAGTGCTAAAAATCCGAAATCTAAGGTTTTAGCGTGTAGAGCCCAGAAACCCCGAACCCTTTCTCGGGCCTCGGCTTTGCGAACCACGCACCATGCAACGAATTCTACGTGCGCACGCGCGTGCCACGCCCACACGGACCTGCCCCGCCCCAATTGCGCATCTGTGGGAGAAAACCTATTCGTCGTCGTTGCTAATTAAACCCTAAACCCTGAACCCTAAACCCTGAACCCTACCCACTACCCACTACCCACTGCCAAGTGCTCCCACCTTCGTGGGCAACACTGAGAGCCTCGAAAGCTGAAGCAATCTGCCCCAGGCTTTGGCAGACTCCCTGAGCCTCGGCTGCGGATCTATGGGCTTTCTCAGGGCTTCAGGGATCGCTAATGCGGCTTGAGGTACGTTTGTGTTGATTAAGGGATTTTTAGAGATATCACGGTTTATTTTGAGAGGCTGTAGGGTTCATTTAGGCTTCAGGGCCCGGAGGTTTTAGCTTCGGGCACCTTGTCACCGCCCTTGTGGAGTGGCTATAATATGTAGAGGCTTGTACAGTGGGGCAAAGTGCCCTGGCCCCTGTGCTCGAGTTCAGAGTTTGCCGTACGGGCACTAAGCACTTCGACTCTGGTGCCCGTGCTACGTGACACCGGAAGTACAGCGGGATAGTTTGGCAAGTTGGCGAGACCACCCCAGTGTGTTGAAACCACGAGCTCCAGAAGCCTGTCGTGTGCTGTTGCTTGCTGGAGTTAATAGGAGCCAATATCGTCGGGCTACTTAGACATGGCACGACTCGATGCATCATCTGGAGTTGCCCAAGAGTGAGATTCGAACTACACGCACGACGTCTTGTTGCCTTGAAAGTGGGCAGAGACCTCGCCCGGCATGAGGTAAAAGACCCCTGAACCCTGCACTCCCAAACACAAGGCCCTGAATTGGAGTTTCTCCCAGGATGGCCAGGGTTTAGTGTTAGTTGGCTATTGGCTTGGCATACGTAAAGCAGTACCTTCAGCAAAGTTGGCATTTACCGAGTCCTGGCTGGCGGCACACCGCATGCTTGCCTTAGTGGGTGGGGACCAGACCCTGAGACCTCCTCTGTTTAAGGGCAGGAAGGGGTTTAGGGTTTAGGATATTACGGCCTGGACCGACCGATTCAAAGACCCTAAACCCTAAACCCCTAAACCCCTAAACCCCTAAACCCTTAACCCAAAACCCTAAACCCTAAACCCTAAACCCCTAACCCTATACCCTAAACGCGACTCGCTCAGCCATGTAGGAGGCAAAAATACACTAAACCCTAAACCCTAAACCCTTTTGCCCTAAACCCTACACCCTAAACCCGAAACCCTAAACCCAAAACCCCACACAATAAACCGCAGTTTGAAGGACGAAGGAGCTTGAGATGCAGGGCTTTCCAAGGGCCAGCGTCGAGGAGGAGGCCGACGAAGTGAAAATCCTTAGCGTATTTTGGTATTATATTTTTTTTTGCAGTTTTTATAGCATTATAGGATTATATAGTATTATAGTTTTTATAGTATTATAGTATTATGTAGTATTATAGTTTTTATAGTATTGCGATATTATGGTATTATGGTGTTGTGGTATTCTGGCAGATGATAGTCATTATAGTATTATCGTCATCGTCTTGCCAACGGTATATACTCTGTGCTGGCATCAAAAAATCAAAGTTTTGTCATCAGCAAATCCTTAGTATCCAGTGTGGTGAAGTTTCTATTCATACCTCGCAGGCGAATCGATGGCTCGTACAGCAAGAATGTGTGGAGACTCGAGTCTTGCTAGCGATGGCAGGAAGACTAGCGAACAAGCTGGTCTCAGAATAATACGAGCACAATAACTGTACTAATATTGTATGGAGACAGCATGATGAAAAAAACACCATGAAGCTACCAGCAGTAGAGGAAACAGCAGTAGTGTCAGAACCACCTTTGCCCTGTAAGCTTGCAGGTCTCGCAGTTCATGGAAAAGGGCCGCATCTCCGCCACGAACTTGGACCGCCTCCAGCGCCGACTCCAGCGTCTCTCGATCGACATGGCTGAAACCAGCGGGCTATGTCGGCTACGTACAACAGCAGAGAACTAGACCGCATACGAAGTAATGACAATGACATGCCAGCTTGTCTTGTTCTGCGATACAGTGGCACGGGGAAATGCACAAAGCGACGTGCAGGAGCACCTGCAGAAATCTAGAATACAACAAATACAGCGTGCATGTAACTGTGTATATGTATGCATGCAACGGTGTATATGTATGTATGTATGTATGTATGTATGTATGTATGTATGTATGTATGTATGTATGTGTATGCATGTATGTGTGTATGTATGTATATACACAACTATAACTAATATGTGCATACACGCACAAAACAAATACATACACACGTACATGTGTAAACCCTGACCCCCCTCACATACACGCATGCACATACTAGATGGGTAGCTAGGTAGACAGATAAGTAGTATATACGCACACGTGTGCATGCATGCGTACGCGTCCGTATGCATTTTTTTGAATCATACATATAGTTGTACAACATATGCGCATACGCAGACATATGCACCTACAAATGCGTCCATCCATCCGTCCAAGCATAATCAAAACCACAGTTACATCCATGCTTGTTGTGATTACAGTATGAGCATTAAAGGAAAAGACTTCTCACATGAATAAATATATGTTTCTCTATCGGGAGGCTATATCTCGTAATGTGAATCAAAAATCACATGCGGCATTGCCGACATGCCAAAACGTCATAAGCATGTGCAAGGTGCTTGGTTGGTAGTTACTCTGCAGTCCCTTTTGCAAGATTTGTCATGGCACACAGAAAGATTTCAGTTTTATTTGGCGCAGCCTCTGGAGATGCACTCCGGTCGCGGGCTCTAGCTACCAAAGGTTTTCTGCATGGATGTCCGCGAAGCTTCTGACTATTCGTGCAACGACTGTCCAGCAAGGTTCCCTTCGACAAAGCGAGACGCCTGCAGAAGCGACATCGTGGCTTGTCGTCAGGAGATGTTGTAGGATCCATGAGGTTTCGGATGGGTTTATGTCGCTGAGCTTCGGGGGTCCAGGAAGCCCTCGTGCTTGCAGCAGATGCAAACAGGGTTTAGCCCAGGGTTCTTAACCATGACAGTGTGCATCTCTTGTCTGACCAGTATCGACACAGCTGCTAGTCGTTGACCTCGCCTGCACTATTCAGAAACTCCAGCGCGCAACAGCCCAAACACCCTCACATCCCAACGCGAAGCCCTAAAGCCCGAAGCCCCCAAGCGCCTAGATCCCCACAGCCTACACCTCAACGCCTTAAACAAAGCACAAACCCACACACCCCGAAGCCGGAAAACCATTCTAAAACCATACTAAGAAATCTCATATGGCCTTTATGAAATCCTGATACAACACTGTCTGTTTGCTGCATGCCCAAAGAAGGCCCTTAGGGAGTCCCTATGTAACCCAGGGTCACATCCAGCAACTCTGCTAGGCAGCCCGTCTCCGCTCGACTCACTCCGCGGCTCGAGCCTCTACCACCCAAAAGCCAGCCACAGGTGCGAAAAATTCGGTTTAGGGTTTAGGGCTTGGGATCAATGGGGGGTTCAGGGTTTAGGATTTCTTGTGAGGGGTTTCTTGAAATTAGGGGTCACTTCATATGGGATCCTTTGCACCAACGATCCTGTCCTATCAGTGTGGTGTTCATATTGGCTTGTCTGAAACTATCATTTCTAGAAGCACCAGCATTGTCATTGCTTCAAGGGTATATAAACTGGAGGAGCAACTAATACCAGAAGCAATGGATGCGATAATTTTTAAGCATGGTATAGTGTGGCCAATCATAACCACCATAACCTGGTGGCTGTGCAAGGGCTGTGGTCTGGGGCTCAGTGCTGCTTGTAGTGATTTTTCCCGCTATGGTTGTATGTTTAGAGTTAGGATTTTGGTTCTTTTGTGTTGGGCTTTCTGGGTGTTCGGGATGAGGGTTCCCCCGCCACGATTAAGCCGATGTGCCAACAAGTCACCCATGCAAGCCTTTTCGAGCAAGCCCCAAACAGATTGCTTGCAAGGCTACCTAAACCCTAAACCCTCAACCCTTGTGGTCCCGCACCACGCGAAGCTTGCCATCGCAGACCCTGCCAGGCGGGAGGCAAAAAGAAGCCTGGTGGCTTTTGCTTTTGAACGTCCGGGTTTAGGATTTCGGGTTCAGGACCTCCCAAAGCTTGAACAGTAAAGACCTCCACGGCCAGGCTCCCCGCCCCAGCGTTTGCTACTGGGATGGAGACACCCTGACGGCGCCTTGCCCTATCATGCAGTAATATAATGTGATAGTATAATACAATATAATGAAGTGTGTACACTCTCTCTCTCTCTCTATATATATATATAGCTATAATATATATTCAAAATATAATGTAATATGATATAATATATTATAATGTAATATAGTTTAATAGAATGGAATATAATAGAATATAATAGAGTATAAAGGATTGTAATATAATATAATATGATATACTCGAATATAGTATAATATCATAGAATAGAATAAACTGGAAGGTTTCTGGATGACTGGGCTTCTGGCTTCAGAGGTCGCCCGCCCTGACTTGGGTTTAGGATCCATGTCGTCGTGTTCGTCGTCGTAGCCCCATTCGCAGATGTATACGCAGTATCAGCAGTAGTGCTGCTAGTTTTCCTTCGCCGACTACAACACCTGTGCTTATATAGATACTGCCGCGAACGCATTCAAAAGGGCTGTCGACACTTGTTTTTGGTGTCTGTATCGTCAGCATTGTCATTACAGCCGTGGTTGCAATCAATTAAGGTAGCACTTCTAGCGAAGGAAGAAGAGAAAGCCGAAGAGCAACGTTAAGAGACATGTCGGCCAAAATCATGACGACAGCCTTGCCCATGGCGAAAGGAAGCACTAGCAAATTGCCTTAGTTCAAGTCAACAGCGACAGCGAGGCATTGCGGGAGGCGATTTGGAGCAAATGATTTGGGGCTTCTGTCTTGGAGCTCTTCTGTCTAGGTGAAGCCCGAGTATCAGAAGCTGGCCCGATGGTCCAAAATCGCCGCGGTTCAAAAGCTGTGCATGGAGGCCAGTCAGTGAGCTTACAGGCACTGTTCTTCCAAGTCAAGTTGGGCGATGTGATAAGACATATCTTCTGTAGGATGTTGTCGGGCGTGGTTTATGCACTCGCTTGTGCATGCTTCAATCTTCAAGCCCGAGTTTAAGCTTCGAGCCGCGTATCTCTTGAGACTCCCCAGGGTTTCCCGGAGCTTCGCCCCTCAAGCGCCACAGGATGAGCAGTTGAAGCAGCAGCTCGCAGACAAGGAGCGTAAGTCCAGGCTCCGATGCATCCTCCATTTCAACACTGTGGGGCTGCGGTGCAACCCGTGGCAGGTACAGGGACTTCTTGAAGGAGCAGATACAGGAGCACATTCGAGCCAAGGAGACCTTAATGTTCTGTCGTAACCCGGGGTCTGCTGAAATCAGGTACAGCCCTGACCGTAAGGCATCTCTCAACCCGGAAGCTTGTTTGCGCGCCGGCGGAACCAAGCACGGGGTTAGGTCTCGTGGAAAGCCCCATGCAGCTTTGCAGCTGACTACTTCCAGGAGAGAGAGCAGGAAGAGAAAGCCAGAGCGCGGGCCAAGATCACAGCATCGCCTTTGCATAGACCGTGGCCAGAGTGATGCTAGCCAAGCTGGGAGTGATGCTAGCCAAGCTGGGAGTGATGCTGGGACATCTCCGAAAATCCCGCGTTTTTCGGTGAGTTCTTCTGCGGTGCCCTTGCCCAGGTCCGGGCAGACAAGGACCAAGAGTTTTTGAAGATCGAGGCCCCTGCCAGGGCCAGGTCTTTGCTGCGAGTCTCAGGGACTTTCAGACTTCAGTGGCCCTCTTTTTCTTTGAGGGTTCGGGGAGGGTTTGAAGCAAAGCGGCAAAGGGCCTGAAACTCTGGAAATGGGCAAAGCAGGCCTCCGTCGCCGCGCAGCGAAGGCAAGAGCAGATGATTCGCCCCATGGCGCAAGGTATCTAGCGGGTTGGGGTTTAGGGTTTGGGTTTTGGGGCTGGGGTGTATTATTAGGTTTAAGGCAAAGGTTTCAAAAAAAAAGGCTCAGGGTTCAGGGTTTCGGGTTGAAAAGTGTAAGGAAGAGTGTGGGGCAAAGGGTTTTTTGGACCACGGTTTAGGGCTTAGGGAGAGTTTAGGGTTTAGGGTTTCGATGTGCTGCGAGGGAACTTGGCCGGGCGAGCTTCAATCAAGCCTGTGTAAAAAGGGCCAGTTTAGGGTTTTGGGGGTGGGGGTTGGGGAGTTTGAGGCTTCCGCGACGGGCTTTCTTGGGCTACGGTCTTGGGCTACGGTCATCCGTTGCTAGCTGCTAGCGGCTAGGCTCTGCTCGTAGAGCTTTCCACAGTGTTTTTGGGACCTGAATTGATAGCCCGCGATTAGCGAATTATGTTACGGCATGTCAGTGAGCATCTCATCGGACCGAGATGCCAGTAGTGACTCAGTGAACCGGGCATTGCGAATCGGCCAGCTTTGACGTGTGGTTAGAACACGAGCTGGACGACAGAATTAGAATTGAAGTTAAGTGTGCTGTGCGTGGGATTGGTGCAGGTAGCATGGTCCTTTTCACATAATTCGTGGCCGTTGGGGTAGGCTTTGAGTACCGCCTGTCCCCTGCCCCAGGAGTGACTACAGTTGTCCTTCCCGCGCCATACGTTGTTAACCTCAACATGGTCAACATAGAGACAGGGGGAGTGCAGGGGCTTGTTTCTCTGAGTGGACGAGGCCTGAAGGACGAGATCATGAGCCAGGTCGCTACCTCTCGAAGTTGGGAACCCAGCGTCTCCTGCTGAATGTCGGCTCCTGTGGGGCTCAGAACTTGAGAAAAACAATCAGGCTAGAAAGGGTTTCGGGCTTTAGGGCCCAGGGTTTTCTGGTGGGTTTTCTTAACGGAAAGGCTTTTGAGGAATGGTGGTGAGAGCATCTCGCGGGTGTTGGGGAGGCTAACACTAGAGACAATATTTCATCTATTCTTTGTAAGAGATGTCAACATGTTGTGCACAACCAAGATCGCCAAACATGCCATAGAGAGTGTCAATGCCAGCAGTGACTCAGATGTAGGCTCATTGCGATGTACTGGCGTGGTTAGCTTTGTTCGAGTACTCGCATTGTTTGTGTCTCGACAGTTGCGTGGGCGATTTCCTACTAGTCATCACTGCTGGCCACTTGCCCTATGCTTTCCTCAACCACCGTAGGTAGCCATGTGGGAAGCAAGTCACCGGCTGAGCCCGCAGCCCTTGCAGGCAGGAAGCAGGAAGAAGTGACCTCCGACGTGTCTCGCGCCCGCGAGGCTGCGGGAAGCATGGGCAAGGATTCAGTCGCTACCAGACGGACAGTCCGTGCAAGAGCGAAAAGTTGAGACCGAAGTACGGAAGGGGCTTGTAGCCGCTTCGCTAGCCTTGAGGCCTTCAGCTCGAACCCTCAAGTATGCTGTGTAAACCGCTCCAAGCCCTGCAAGCAAGCCCGAAGAGGAGAACGAGAAGGCGCTGCGCTCGCTAGAAGAGGAGAAGCAGCTAGTGCTCAAGAAGAAGGCGGAAGGGGTGGGGTGCCGTCTGCCTTGATATGAATGAAGTCCTTCCTTGCAGTCCGATGTGTCATTTCAGAAGGGTCGATTGTCCTGCGCAGCAGCAGCTGCTGTGATCGTCCCTTGTTGGTGTAGTTGGTCCTGGCGTTCTTGTCGGTTCACATGTCAGTCCTGGGTCTGTCCCACGTGGTCAGACCGATGTTGCATGCGTCGCACAAATTACGCGGGTGTGTGTGTGTGTGTCTCCGGAAACAAGTGTCAGTGCTGAAGTCTCAGCAGCCCTCAACCGCAAGTCGGACTACATCTCGTCGGTTGGCAGGAAGTCTCCACGGAATAGGTGTTTTGATTTGTGTGGGGGAGTCTCTCAGAATATTGCAGGAGGCTCGGCGCCAGATCGATCAAAAGCAGGCCGACCTCTGGGCTACCGAAAGGCGCGGCCTTGTTGTGGGCTTCGGGGTTTAGGGTTTAGGGCCCTCGAGATTGGGCCCTGTCCGCAGCCTTCTGGGTGTCTGAAGAACCTGAGGAGGCGCAGTTCACTTCAGATTTGGGGTCTGGAACATCCGTTGAGGCATCTGCAGCAGGAGCAGAAGCAGGTGGACCTCAAGAGGAGAGCAGAGGAGAAAAGGAGGTGGCGCGGGGATGTGCAATGCTCCTGTAAGTCTGCCGCCTTGTAACCTGTCAGAGTGAACTTTTGACGGTGCGTTTTTGGGGCAGAGGTTCTGGCTTGGGAACTCTCAAGCAGTGCAGCTGACGGGAGTTTTGCAAGCCAGTCCAAGATATCGATTAGACCATCCCTTCATGCGAAGTCCGAAACCTTGGCCGGCAAGCCTTCCCCAACAGCTTGCTAGACTTACCTCGCCTAGCATGCCCGAGAATGAGCGCGAAAGTCCTGGAGCATCAGCCCTACGACCTCAATGTCCCAGGTCCCAATCTGCGGGCCGCTAACATCCGGAAGCTCTATAGTAAATGCCTCAGCACCCTAGACTCTACAAGCCCCGAGCCCCGAAACCCAAGCACCCCAACCTAAACCCTAAACGCAAAACAACCTAAACCCCTTAGATTCGTTTCGAACCCTAAGTCGGAACCCGAAAATCCTTCACGAAGCTTTACCCCACATCCTTCTGGAGCTCGTTGCCAGGAAGGAGGAGGAGACAGAGTCGGCCAGGAGGGAGAAAGCTGATCTCAAAGAGCGAGTCTGGGCCTCGGGATTTTTCGGGGGTTTGTCCTGGGCGTAGGAGGGGTTGCAGAGGGGTGCTAGACGGGTTTACAACAGGAATTTGCGAAGGTCTTTTTAGAGGGGCTTCAGGGGTCGAGGGTTTCAGGATTTGGGGTCTGGGGGTTTGGGGGCAGTGCTGCGTACTCCAGCTAATCTGCTAATCGAAGAAGGCCGAGAGTCTAGGGTCAAGATTTCGGCTGGGCGAGCTGGGGGTTTACATGTTTAGGGTTCATCGAAGAGGTTTAGGGACAGCAGGGTGTAAGAGTAGGAGGTACGGGTTCAGAGCTTTTCGCGGTGCAGATTTAGCGGTTTTTGGGGTGTATGGTGCAGGATCTATGTTTGAGGATTTATAGCAAAAGAACCCCAGAACACATAGGATGGTGTTCCGTTCGGGGTAGGGCATGCAGGAGGGATCTCTGAGGGTGCCTTTGTTTGTAATGTTCCGCTTCTAAACGTTTTTGGTGTGAGTAAGGAGCAGCCTGGTCCGTTCTTGACGAGTGGTATCCCACCAAATATTCCGACGTTACCTGGATTTACTCTCTAAGGTTGGATCTGGTAGACGTTTTGCGTCGTAGTTCGATGCACCAAAGGCGGACGACGGCCGCAACTTGCGATAAGTGGCATAGAGACTCACATCTCCTTAAACATTCTGGGAAGAATCTGTGCGGACTTAAGAAAGAAGCTGCGCAACAGTTCAGTGGCGCTGCAGTGCACCACGTACGGGTTAGTTGGCTCTTCTCAACTCCAGCACTCATTGTGGGGCCGCAGGCAGCTGCAGAGCAAGCGGTGTTCTTCGAGAAGCTGCACCAGCAGCAAATCAAGGTGCTTGAATCGTCTTGAAAGCTGATGCATTGCAGGGTTTGAAAGTTGCTTCTGCCGTTTCGCTTACGACAGGGCGGGCAATGGTCCCAGACTGGACACCGCTTCTCTCGGTATTCACGTGTTCATTTCAAGATTCAAGGGTCTTACATAATTTTTAACAACGCAGGTGTCGTGTAGATATGAGCCAAGTTCAGATACCAGTGCTCGTGCTCAGGACGGCAGGAACTGTGGTGGTGGTGATGATGATGATGATGATGATGTCGAAGATTATGATTGTGATGTTTATGCCGAGGCAGCCGAGGCAGCATAAGCGGAATAAACATCGCAACTACAGTACGGCCGGTTGCAGTACCGCGACATGCCTCGTGGTGAGGATGAGAGTTAAGTTTGAAGCTATGACAAAAGCGATTACAATTTTTCATAGGTGGCGGCAACAAAGCGGCGACCCTTGGCAAGACGCATGCATGACCGTGGCGATGGTTAAGAAGTGATGACCACAGTGATGGTTATTGGGAGCAGGTGCTAGCTATGCCGATCTAATGACTTGATAGGAACGGGTCTGGGGGTTGCGACTACGGTAAGCACAACGACGAGGACAATAATTATGATGGTGAGGATCTTGATTTCGTTGAGGCTTGGCAACGACAATTTCAGTGGTAGTCGTGATGAAGGCTCGGCAAGGTAGCATGCATCCAAGTTTCCTCCGCACCTTATGTGAAGACCCTACATGTCTTAGCCAGTAATGAAGTCAACTTTGCAGGGCAACCGATGACGCGAAGCGCACACTTACTGCTGAATCCAGCAACGAGGGGCATCGGTCTCATGCTAGCTCGCCAGGAGGGTGCCCGGACAGAACGCCTGACTAAGCGCCCCTTGGCCTTGCCTTGACATTCGGATCCCGCTTACATCCTGAGTGTTGTTTCAGCTTCTGGAGCGCAGTGGGAGTAAAGGCCCATTGGCGAAGGGCTTTGGCCTGCTGGGGAGTGTCGGTTAAGGCTTCGCGGTTGGGTTGAGGGTTTGGGTTGTTGTTTGGGGGTCCCAATTTCGGACGTGGTTTAGAGGTTCATATTTGGGGGTCTGGAGGCCCAGGGTGGGTTGGGAAGCTGCCATTCGACTGGCTAAGGGAATGCAAACAAAGGGGGTCTTGTGCTTTCTCAAGCGGACGGAGGGCCATGCCTTCCGCTGAGCTGTCTAAGATGCTGTCTGCAGTGGAAGGCCCTCAGCCTCAGACCCTTCGTTGAACAACACCAGCACTCTTTTCGTCACGTCCCAATGAAAAGTAGACTGACTCATGCGAACTGAAAATATGTAATACAGTGCGGCAGAGCCGTAGTGTTTTGCAGGGAATCAGCGCCTCGTGATCGAGCAGCAGGTCGCTTGCAGGGTTTTCAGGTTACATGAACCCAGGGGAAGCGGCGACGTCTTGACCCCAAACCATGCCTCTCGGCCATGTCGACAGGAGGGTACCATATCCAGCAACCCCATGTCGTCTCATGATCGCCTTACTTCTTGCCGTCGTAAAAGGTGTGTTGGAAAAATGCGCACATACATGTCTGCCTACGCCGCATTCATCCACAAATCACACAGGCACAACTGCATGCGTGCACACGGACACATGCACACGCGTTTGAATTGTATTCCTGTCCAGGATAATCAGTGTCGTGTGTGCCCACTACTACGACAGCTGCTGCTGCTGCTGCTGCCGCTGCTGCTACTGCTGTTGCTGCTACTACTACTACTACTACCACCAGGACCACCGCCATTACTACTACTACTACTACTAC